CCATTACCATTACCATTACCATCATCACCATCATCACCATCAGCATCATCATCAGCATCATCAGCACCTTCAGCTCCGAGAAACGATGTTGCCGAACAACAACAAATTAATCGCGATTGAATGTGACCCGCTTTTTCACATGAATACCTGGCAGCCCCGTTCCGCGGCAGCGACCACGCCGGGGCAGACAAAATGGACAGCCTGTGCAAGGGTCGCTAAGCCCGCAGAGACGAAGAGGAGGGGGTGGTTGACGGAGCCCAGGGCGCTTATGGAAGCCCCTCTGTGCCCCATCTGTAAACTGAGCCCGCTCTAGTAGCTGCTTTAATTTCCAGGAACTCTTCTTTGAACTACAGCACATGGGCCGCGATGGAATTCGACCTGCTTTTTCACATGAATGCCTCGCGGCCTCGTTCCGCGGCAGCTACGACGGGGTTGACAAAACAGAGCTCCAATGTTAGGGAACCTGTTCAGTAGCCACACCCCACATTTAGCAGGCGTTTCTGATTAAAACGGGGCGGAAATCACGCCACGGGCACCGGGGATAAAGTTTCGCACGCCTGGTCCAATAGATCCCTGAAGGATCCCGCCCCTGACGCATGCGATGGGCCTGGCCAGTTAAAGAGCAGCACCCCCTTCTTGTGGAACAGATCGGGCTCGGGCAGACAGACAGACCTGAATCGAGTGTTTGTTGTTTCCCTCTTGTGTCCCACCCGCAATATTGCGTGATGACATCAACAACATGGGGCCAGGCGGAGACACGATTTGCCTCGGGAATATGCCATATGTACCTTCTCTGCAGGTTCTCCCACGAGTCGGGGACACACGAACGCTTGCGCGGCTCAAAAACTCGAATCGCGCAATCGAGACATGCATTACCCTCCTCACCCTGCGCTTGCAACTTAGGCGGGAACCCAGGGAACCCGCCAGGGTGCTGATGGGCGCTGTTTGGCGCGCGCTGCATTGTGGCCCCCGCGTGCAATCGAAAACGCGGCGCAAGGAACGCCAGCAAGGACACCCAAATAGTGACCAGAACGAAGAAGCCTTAGGACATGCCTGAGCACGGGCTTGCTAAGGAGGCCCCCCTCAGGCTCCTGCAGGATAACAAACGCGTAAACTTTACAGCGCCGGCGACGCACGCCCTTGCTCCACACCTCAGAACCTCTGAAAAACTCGACGTAGAACGGCTGGAAGTCCCAGAGGGGTCGGCAGCCTTGCGGAGGCGTCGGCGGCGAAGTGTTCTACGAACCTGGCGGGCAACGCAACGCGGCCGTGGCAGCGGCGGGCAACGCAACGCGGCCGTGGCAGCCCCCACGTACTGTCGCTGGCCCACATTGACATTTGCCCAGGACTTCCTGCAACAATTCTCGTTTCTCGTAGCGCCCCGCGCTGCTGATCGCCCGCCAGCGCCCCCTCTAGGCTACGTCGTCGAGCGTGAGTCTCGCCTCCTGCCCGTTAACGCCGGCCCCGGAGCGACGGGCCGCGGGGCGCTGGCGAGAACGACGCGAGGCCGACCTTCTCGGCGGCGCGGTCGAGAAGGCCCGCAAGCTGCGCCAGCTTCATCGGCCACGGAGCGCGGCCGCGCCATCGGCGCGCAAGGGCCGCCAGACGCGATCCAATCCGCCTTCGCGAGATGCCCGCCGCCTCGTCCACCTCGTCCGTCCTGGAGGCGCAGTGCACACAGTCTGGGTCGAACTGGATCACCACCTCGGCCTGAACGCAGCGCGGACCATGCGCCTGGGCAGGCGCCAGCCGCGCGGCTTCGCCCGGCCGCAGGTGCGCGCCCGCCATCATCACCCACGCCAGGGCGGCCTCGGCTCTGCGCGGCAAGTTGGGGACCATCGCCTCGGCCAGGAGCTGTATGCCCACGGCGCAACAGACCGCCCGGGCGAGCGGCCGCCCGACCCTGGCGGGGGCCAGGCGCCTCCAGCCGCGCAGGGCCCCGCCCGCTGCCCGCGCGGGGACGCGGCAGCCGACCCCGGCGAAGGTAGCCCGAAAGGAACATTTCAGCACTACTGTCGGGGCCCACCCTAGGACAGGTTATCACTGACGGGGGTGCACTTTTTGCTGCCGCTCAGGCGTTGCCAAGCAACATTATTCTTGCACGTGTGTCTAGCCTGGCCCCTGCATCTGATGCAGGGGCCCCCAAATCCCCACTCTCCTGAAACTGAAACTCGATTGCTTCAAATGGACTGGACTGCTGGGCTGGCTGGCTCAAGAACGCGAGGGAGGGACGAGGAGGCGAGAGCAGAGAAAACACAGAAAGGGTCAGGCGGCGCTCGGCGACACGGGAGGGGCGCGCTTGAGCACGCGAGGCGGCGGTGCTCTCTATGCTCCCTCCCCATGCCCCAACGTGCACACCGAAAACTACCATTCACGAGCTCATTAAACCATTTCAGCACTATTGTCGGGGCCCACCCTAGGACAGGTTATCACTGATGGGGATGTATTTTTGCTGCCGCTCAGGTGTTACCAAACAACACTATTCTTGCACGTGTGTCTAGCCTGGCCCCTGCATCTGACGCAGGGGCCTCCAAATCTCCACTCTCCTGAAACTGAAACTCGATTGCTTCAAATGGACTGGACTGCTGGGCTGGCTGGCTCAAGAACGCTCACCACCACCCGCGCCCGCGAGCGGCACCTCTCCAGCCGAAACCAGGCCAGAGCCATTTCCAGAGTACCCGTCGCCCGTATTCGCTGCGCGGTCTGGCTCCAGGAGGCGCGGCTGCTCGCGCCTTCTGAAAGGGAAAAGAAACTGAAGGACCCGCGCCACTGCGCGGCGCACACGTCGGACGAGCCCGCGAGTGGACCCTCCAGGGAGCGCGGGAGTGCCACGGAGCATCTCGGGGCCGAGATCGAGCTCAGGCGCGGGAAAGGACGAACCCGCTAAAACCTTGAGCTGCTCGGCCATGGCTGGCGCCTCGGCGGTCTCATCCATGCCGAGCAACCCCCACGCTGGGTTCGCCCACTGCGGATGAAAGCGGATCGTGACCACCCCCAGGCGATCCCGACGTGGCCGCTGGGAAGCCAGCGGACCCAAAAACTCACGGACTGGTAACTCTTAGAAAAACGGAAAGCACTGTGCGTGAATTCGCCTCTCGGCCGAGTGGCCGAAGAGAGGAGCAAAAGGCGCTCCAGTTCATCGGAAAACTCCGGCTCGAGCTGCAGTACCTGCTGGACCTCCGGCTCCTGGAGGAAGGCGGGCCAGGTCGTCTTCATCCTCGACGAAGAACCTGCCGGTGCTGCCCAGCACCTGAACGTCCAGCAGGTCGACGCCGCGCCAAGCCGCCTCGACCAGGCCGATCGATCCATCCGTCACTGCCGACACGAGCTTCGCTGCGCTCGTGCTCACATTCGCTCCTGCCGTCCCGATCCTTCCCGCCGCAGATCCCACCTCCTCCGCCGCGTCCGTCATGACGATGAGGCCCCTGGCGGCGTTGGGGAAAAGGCTGGCGGGGAGGATGCTCAGCAGCATGGCGGCCAGCGCGAGCTTGCCCAGAAGAGGCCCTGACGGCACGCACTTCATCACCCACTGTAGCTGGCCGCCATTGCCCGCCTTAGGCGATTTGGCAAGAGGCTGGCCCGCTGCCGCCTGCATCTTCGCACTGACCCTGGGCGTGGCTGGCGGCGGCGGCGGCGCCTCCGGGAACGGTGGCGGCGTGGTAGCACCCCACGGGGGCACTGGAGGGCAGTAGGCCCCACCCATGCCCAGGCCCCCTGGGGTCCGAGGAGGTGGCGTGTCCGCGCGGTTCTGCATCGGCGTGGCGGGCGCCCTCGCCGAGCTGGCTCCCGGGCTGCCCACCTCCAGCCACGAGCCCACCTCCGAGCCCGACTCCACGCCCTCGCCCTTGGCCTGCGCGGCAGCGCCCTTGCGGAGCGCGGCCTTGATGCTGGGCGCCCTGGACCCAACCATCGAAGGCCTGGCGGAACGTAGGGTGCCAGTAGCGGGCAGCCCAGTCCAGGGCTGGCTGCAAACCTGCTGCACGTAAAGCTGTACCTACCTGCGACGCTTGAACCACATCAATATAGATGCGCAGCGAGGAGTCGACCCTCCACCTTCCCATGTCCCTGATGGTCTCGAAAGGGATCCCGAGGGCGGTCGACTCCGAAGCAAACCCGGCGCGGGGGCTGTGCGGCCCCCACCCGACGTCAAGGTTGAACGAGGCCTGCACGGTCTTTATGAGGGTACGGTACTGGGCCAGGGAATACGGGAAGAGCCGCTGGCCCTTGGGAGTATGACGACGAAGAATCCTGAGGCCCTCTGCGAGGCCCGGCTCCAGCTCCTCCTGGAAAGACACAGACTGCGGGCGCTTGGCCTTCGTCATTGCCCTGATCCCCAGACCGATGACAACAGGCCCAGAGCCTCCAGGATAGCCCCAGTCCTCCGGAAGGGTGTCGTCAGCCTCAACTCCCAGCATTTCACTTGGTCTCATCCCGAACTTGCCCTGGATCACGATGCCGAAACCCAGACACGGCACACCCCTGGCACAAAAATGAATACACATCCAGGCACACACGTTACTGATCATGGGGACGGTATGACGAGGTTGGTGAGCATAGCCCCACCCCTTGAGGGCCGCCCTAACTCGACACAGCCTCCCCTTCATGCGCGGAAAGCGGAACTCCACCGCCGCGAGGAGCAGGGTGAACTTGGACTTAGTCTGGACCCCCATCCCCACAGCCTCGGAGCCCCCAAACCTCTTGAAGTCCATGATAGCGTCATCCCACTGGTCAGGGGTGAACGGCTCCACCCCCTCTCTGACACACCACTTGACAAAAGGCACCACCGCCTCCTTATACTTGAGGACGGTAGAAGAAGAGACCCCCCCCCCTCATGCACATCGATCACTTCTGGATCGTCCTGGCCTGCTGGACGCCCTGGACCTGATCCTGCGGGATGCCCTCTAACACCTCCCTCCATGTCCTACTGCGCGAAACCCAGTCAGCCGGCATCCGCCAAGTCTCGACCCAAGGCAGCAACAGGCGTAGCTCTGCGGCGGCACACAGGGCGCATCGGCGGCGGAGAAGGTAGTTGAGAGGGCCCGCCGCGGACCTCCCCTTGGCAATGGCGTACGAGCAAGGCATGTTGTCCTCGAAAGATATCACCTTACTCCTATAGAAACTTAGAACTTGCACCAACCTCTCCAGCGCCAGAACGACGGCCCTCATCTCCCCCACCGTGATGCGCCCCCCCCACCTCCACCGACCGGCAGCGACTGGGATCCAGGAGCGAGCCGTGTCCCAGATCTCCTTCGGGACCGAACTGACAGGGAGGTTGGGGTGCAACGAGCGGGGGGCCTTCTCGAGGACGCGCTTCTCCTGACCCAGGCGCGCGAGAGCATATCCAGGTCTAGTCCCGGCTTCCCAAAGCAGCCGGGCCACGTTGTCCGACATCGCGGTGGCGACAATACCGTAGCCCCCGCAGTCTAGACCGTTCGACCCCTCAGCATCCGTAGCCAGAACCACCTCCGAGACTCCGAGATGGGGGCCCCCAGGTCCACGTAGAGCCCCATGAGCCCACACCTCATAACCCTCCATTCTCTCAAAGCACTGGGCCACCATCTGCGGAGCCCTCGACGCCCAGGGAGCCCCTCGTTCTGCTTTGCAAACTGGAAGATATGTTGCGGCGCTGCAAGCCAATGCCGAGCCAGCAGCGCCGCCCAAACGCAGACTCCCAGTAGTGAAGATACGGCATCCAGAGACACCCAGGTGCGACGTTCTAGGTAGAGCATGGCCTCGTACAGGGCCGCGGCCTTCGGAGCAGGTAACCTAAGTCGAGCAGGATGTTGCTGGATCTCATAACCTACAACCTTGTCCATCTCGTCTGATCCACGCCGACCGGTAACTTTAAAACCCAGCTCCACTAGGTCGTCGGCAGCTCGATGCATGAAAACGTTCGAGGCCCCCCTGGAGCCCATGTGGTCCTGGCCATCCGTCATCACCAGGCCATCGTCAATATGGAGGTAAAAGCCTACATCACCGTTGTTCAAGACAATGTTTTTCATCTTGACGCTAGTCTCGTTGAGCATGTGGAGCCCCCGCTCGCGCTGGGAACTGCTCGGCCTCAACCATTGCGAAAGCCTAGCAGCGCGACGCGGGGGAGGAGCAACTGCGAGCGGATCTGACCTCTCTCGGCGCTTCCTGACGAAGCTCCGTACAAGGCAAGAAGCCAGAAAGCGGCTGAACGCCGTCGGGTACGTAGCCAAACGTGTGGTCGCGAAGTCTGACCGGCCCCCCTTCCCCGCAATACGCCCGATGCTCCTGTGGTGTTGGTGTCTTCCATCCCGTCGGCACTCTCCCTCCCGAAGCCCATCGGCCGCGCCCGACGGCGCGGTCGCCTTGCGAGCCAAGCCGCCGCACATGCACTGATCAAGACGCACGCGCGCGGCGGCCGTGCGCTCCTCCATGGCACGCATTTCCTCCGCGCTGTAAACTGAAGGGTATGGATCCTCGCCCGGGCCCTCGGGATGTTCGTGGATGTGCACCCCTCCCTGGGCGGAGACTCCTTCGCAAAGAGACAGGAAATTCAGGGTCAAGAGGTTGGGCTCCCGGACCCGCCCCTCCTCAGCTTCTGCAAGCTCGGAGTCGGGGCGGCCGCAGACATACTTGCCTCGAAAACGCAGCGGCCTCGGACCCCCAAGCAACTCGACGAAGGGGGCCCGAGACCACGGTGAGCAGGGAAGCCCTCCGACAATCCCATCAATATAACCCTGGGCCACCAGGCCCCACAACTTCTGGAAAGTCTCAGGAATGGCGAGGTCCCAGTTGGGGTCCAGCTCGAGGCCACACGAGAGCACCAAGATCTCCAGGCCGCGCGTGGCCCCCAAGACGTGGAGCCGCTCTTCCAGATCCCCCGGCCGCCTCGGGCCCGCGAACAGGTGCATGACGACAACGACATCCTTCCCCGACGTCTTTACCTCTAGGACCTTCTGAACCCAACCGTCCACGGTGAACCCCTTACCTACGTCCTCGGACTTCTTACTTTGCTCTCACGGGCCCAATCCTCGTCGTTCTCACCCAAAAACTGGCCCTCCTCATTGACGTCGAAATCCTCCTCAGAGTAGCCCCGCCACAGGCCGCAGCTCCGAACGAGCGTGCGACCCACGCTGGTCATATTCATATTCATCAGGATGCGCACGCTGTGCGAACCCCCCATGACTAGACGTTTCCACATAGGATAGATCCAGTCTCCAGGCCTGGCCCGCCCCCGGACGTCCCAAGGAAGAACAGCCCAGATCAGGCCGGCCCGGATAGGGGGTACAGCTTGCCACGCCCACATCCACTCAGGTACCTCCACCGAGGTGAAAGCATTGCTCTCGTCGAAGGCCGACGCGCTGACGAAATCGCTCGGCACGTGCACACTGGCAAGGGCTGCCCCGCCGTGGAGTCCGTGCTCCTCGCGAGGGCGTACATCTTGAAACATATAGTTCGAGGCCACCATCATGATAATATTACGTTGTTTAGCTGGGTCTTTCTTGGGCACCACTGAGAATCCTGCAATTGCTCGAACGTCCTCACGAAACCCAAACTTCCAGAGATTGGGGGCGATGTCCTGCCTCAAGAAATATCTAGCGTACTCTTCCTCAGATCCTCCAACGAAGCCGCACTGCTGCTCGAGCTCCCTGAAGATGGCCTGCGAACGGGCCTCTGGGGCCGCTACTACTTGGGCCTCCTCGGAGTGGAAGGCAGCTTCCTCTGGACTCAAAGCGGACAACATGGGCACCACTCGGGGATCCAGGGGCTCATCTACAGCATCGGCTCGAAGGGTCTCATGCGCAGTCTTGCGACTCTGGGCCCCTGTGCATGATAGAGCTGCCGATTTCACCAACTTCTCGATGGCTTGGGCGCCTGTCAGGCCGCAGCCCCGGCGCGCCTCTCGAAGACGCGCTGCCTCACGTAGAGCCAGCCGCTGAATTTGTTGGTGGTGGGGGAGCATCTCCTTCAAACGATCATGATCACGGCTCCCCCGCGCGAGCTCTCGGCCGTCTCCCCTATACATGGCGTTCAGAGCAGACAAGTACTCATTAGCCAAAGTCATCAGGGCGAACTTATTGTGAAAACGCTGGCGGAGGCGATTGGACGTACTGTTTGGCCGCCCAGGAGCCTCTACCAAATGGATCGGGTACAATTTGGCGCCAGGCGCCGTGTGCAGCAACTCGCGCAGCCCGTGGGTCTGGTCCAGCACTCGCCTCTGGACCCAGCGGCCGCACCCACTGCCTCGGCTGGTAGCTGCTGTCCCAGCCGAGGCCGCCCTCTGTCACTCTGCCTTCTTGGCCCCCCCGCGCGGGGGACCCTTCTTGGTCTTGTTCTCGTTCCTCTGGCGCTCAGCTTTGCTGTGGGCGGTGGCCGACTGAACCAGCCAGTTCGGCGCGACGTCGGTCTGGCTGCCTGGAGGTGATACCCCGAGCATGTGGAGCGCCCCCGTGCGGTCACCGGACCTGCTCTCATACATATACGCTGCCAGGCGGCGGAGGGAGATCTCCATGAGGTCGTTGGCACTCAGGAACTTCACGAGGTCATCCTCGGTCTTGCAGTCCCGCACGGCAAAGTCCACGGTAGATGCCAACGTCCATAGATCGGTCCACGCGGGCGACGCGCGGCTCCCGCCGCATCGCGCCGACAACCAATCTCGCGTAGAAGTGCACCTTCTGCTCTCATCGCTCGATATATCTCCGCGCCTGCCCTCTGCATGTCTGGCGGGAGGCTGGCTCCCCATCTCGCCCCCTGGCTGCCTCCGCCCGCCGCGGCCGAGCCTCCGAGACCCAGCGGGTCGCCCGCCGTCCCGCCGAGGGC